ACGCGGAAGGAGGATCGGCCGGCGAAGCCGGCCGATCCGACTGGCCCTCCCTCACATGGAAAACTTCTCACAGGGACCCACTTCACACGCGGAAGGAGGATCGGCCGGCCGAAGCCGGCCGATCCGACTGGCCCTCCCTCACATGGAAAACTTCTCACAGGGACCCACTTCACACGCGGAAGGAGGATCGGCCGGCGAAGCCGGCCGATCCGACTGGCCCTCCCTCACATGGAAAACTTCTCACAGGGACCCACTTCACACGCGGAAGGAGGATCGGCCGGCGAAGCCGGCCGATCCGACTGGCCCTCCCTCACATGGAAACTTCTCACAGGGACCCACTTCACAGATGGGCGGTGCTCGCTTCAGAACTTTCAAAAATTCGATCCGACTGGCCCTCCCTCTCATGGAAAACTTCTCACAGGGACCCACTTCACACGCGGAAGGAGGATCGGCCGGCGAAGCCGGCCGATCCGACTGGTATTTACATACTACACATGAAGCCAACTAGTAATGGTTTGAGAACAGTAATTCAAAGCGGCCAAAGTAGGACCACCCGTCTCGAGGGGTTCGAGACAGTACACCCCCAGGAGGAAAACAGTAGGGAAGCCCACGAACTGCCGCCCGTTTAGCCTTGCTCATAAGGGAAACTAGAGCAAAGACAAGTTATACACGTACTTTTTGTCTGCGACCACGCGCGAAACATCAAAGTAGCGCGATAGCTTTCGCTCAATCGAGACCTAATGGGAAAGAAACTTCGCCCAGGAAGCTACGCTTTCCGTTTTGTGTACGTGTGAAGTCCCCTGCCACGATCCACTCATAATGGGATTTTTCCGTGCACTGCGGCCAGTAGAGCATGACAGGGCCTTTTTTATTATTACACCCATCAAACTTCTTGGTCGTTGACAACAAGTCACCAATAAAGACGGTTCACATATTACTAATCAATATTACTTAATGGCGAAAATAGAACAGTGGATTTCTCACTCGACAGTGGGGATCCACGTTGTTGAGCGGTCCAACCAGGGTACGCCATCGTTGTGATCATCACAAGGGGGGGGGGGGTCGTATTTGGTCAGAGAAAATTTTTTTGATAGTTGATTTCTCTTGTTTCACGGACGCTGTAAAGGGGGGGGGGTCGTACTTGGTCATTTTTGGGAGGGGGGGTCGTATTTGGTCAGTTCACGGACGCACTACTATTTCCGACACTTGAAAATGATAGTTTAATTCTGACGACCCTCCCCGTACTATATCCCCCCCTGCTCGACGGCTCGGTTCGGTGAGGAAGGACAGAGGGCTGGGGGTCGTACCAACTCTTAAAAGGGGGGGGTCATATTTTAGTATGGAATTGGGGGGTCGTAATTTTCAGAAAATGATCACAACGCGATGGCGTGCCCTGGTTCCCGGGCGGCATACTCTGTCCCCCCACTCTATGTTCGATGAGATTTTTCTGAAAGGAAAACCTCGCAAAATGGTACGAAGAAAAAGAATTTAGCAAGATGAA